GCAAGAAAACAATCGAAACTAGTCCAGACATCGTCCCTGGATAATTATTTGACTAGTTTTGAGTACTCCTCCTGTAGAGGGACATGCCCGACTTAAGTCAAGGCCTCCTAGATGTCTGGGGCGCACAGAGACATGCTAGTACTATATGTCCTCAGGCGTGCGTCCGACCCGAACATACAGGATGTACCCATCTTGTAGTGCATCGTTTCTCGAGCGGCGTGGCCACGGAGCACCCTCCACGACGCATGCAAGATTTCTCGGTGCGCGCGTCGCACCTGGGGGCGCGACGCACACATAGTATTAGTACGTTAGGATGGCGCCGAATGTCGGCGGCGAGCGAAAGGGGAAGTGGGAAAGGGCGGGCCTTCTCGGAAAGCCCGAAGTCCCCCGGCCGTCTGAGGAGTTTTCTAAGCCTGCCCCGAAGACACAAGAAACCTTTCGGAAGGCGCGAGGGCTTCAGAGCAGGCCTTCTCCTTCTCACTTCCCCCCCCTCGATCGCCCGACCGAAGCCTAGATCTAGGTCGGGCCTGTCACCCTACAGTCGGATTTTGCAAGACAGATGTTTTAAAGAAAGCACAAATAAAAAATGCTCAAACAATGTCCCCACACCATTTTTTCACTAGTTTTGAAGACTCCTCCTGTAGAGGGACAGGCCCGACTTAAACCGAAGCCCTGGGACACACAAATAAATAGACACAAATGACAATATTCCCCATATGGTCCCATATTTTCTGGGTTGTTGTCTCCCCCCACTTCCCATGTTTTCCCATATTTCTTGGGAATTGACAATTAATTGTGTCGGCGTGTTTTGTGGATGCCATGACAATCGGCACTTGAACAATCCTATCATTCAATGAAACAATCTTTCTAAAATGTGTAAAACATGTTCTAAACATGTTTCAAAGATGTTTTTACATGTTCGAAACATGTTGAAACATGCTTTGGACACCTGGAAGTTATTTGGCTGCATGCGTCCTCTCCATTAACCGACTTCCACAACTCTGCAGGAGGTATACCCAAAAATAGTCCCCCAAGAAAGTGTGAGGACGATTTTGTGACTATGTTTGAATATATATATATATATATATATATATATATATATATATATATATATATATATACATATAGATTATATATAATCTATATGTATATATAGATAGATAGATAGATATGAATATTTGGGGGTATTTGCATTTTTCCGCCAAAAATCCCCCTCTAGGGGGACAGGCCCGACCTAACACTGGCGGTGCACCGTCGTCGTCGGCGATGCATCGGCGACGTCGACGTGGAGCGAATCGGGCTTCACAGGGAGCCGCATCGGCGATGCATCGGCGACGCGGCGCGATCGGAGGCCTCGAGGCCCGGAGCGACCCCCCCTAGCGGCTCCGCCCCCGAGTTCAGACGAGCGCGTTCCACTACCCGCAAAGTGACTACTCGCAAATGGCCCGGATCCGCCGCTCGGAGGGCACCAACTATACACCAACACCGATCCTGGCCCAGGATCACCCTGGGCCCAGGATCGGTGTATACGCCCTCCTGCCTTGCGCAAGAAGGCATATACACCGAACCTGGGCCCAGGGTGATCCTGGGCCAGGATCGGTGTTGATTATAGTTGGTGCCCTCCGATGCTATAGTTGGCGCCTTCCTAGCCGCGGGGGATCTACGATACATTAGTTACATCGAAGCGGACATGTGCTTGTCGGACGCTTGCGAGTAGGCACTCTGCGCGTAGGAGAGCGCGCTCGGCGAGAGCTCGGAGCCCCCGGCCTCGGCGCCGCGGCCCGCGTCGAGCGCGGCGCGGGCCTGCCGGCCAGAGAGAGGAGGCTCAGGGCAGCTCCGGCCCGTCCGGACACTGCCGCGGGCGGCGAACACATCCCCAGACTTGGGTCGGGCATGTCCCCCTACAGGGGGATCTTCGACGAAAAAGGAAAAAAAAACTCAAGAGATGCTCAAAAGACGCCCAAACATACTCACTGTGTTTTAACTATTTTTGGATATTCCCCCTGTAGAGGGACATGCCCGACTCGACCCCAGACATTTTGCGTCGCAAGGAAATCAGGACGGGAGGTGTTTGGCCTCGGGACGAGAAGCCGGTCCCGGGGCAAAGACATCGGGACCTCCAGGGACCGCGCGTTGAGAAAAAAGCATCAGGATGTCGCACGTCTGGGTCCACGTCCACGCCCTCGCGGTCGAGACTCTTTTTTTGGTAGGTGGATCTCTCAAGCGTGTGTGTGTGTGTGTGTGTGTGTGTGTGAGTGTGTGTGTTCCGCCCACGATACCGAGGCTCCTTCTGGAGACCTTCCTGGAGCCACTCGCTCCACTCGTGCGCCGAAGCTGCGCGCCGAGCCCGAGTCGAGCCCGAGCCGAACCCGAGTCGAGCCCAGGTCGAGCAGGAGTGGAGCCCGAGTGGAACTCGAGCCAAACTGGAGTCGAACGAGAGTGGAACCAGAGTCGAACAGGTCTGTGGGGTGGTCCCCAGAAATGGGATGCACAGAGACATACTAATACTGCATGTCTTTCTTGGAGGCGCGCGTCCAAGACGAACATATCCTATACCCATCTTGTAGTATATATGTTCCCGAGCTGTGTGGCCAGAACGCGCCCGCCGCGACGCATATACTATAAGATTTCTCGGTGCGCGCGCCGCCCCCCGGGGGGCGACGCGCACATAGTATAAGTATGTTGGGGTGACGCCGAAGGAAGATCCACATAAGGAGTGACCGTAGCCGCCCCGATAAGCAACGCGCAACCCGTAGCGTGTTGACACGGAGCTCAGCAGCAGCAGGGATGTTGAAAACGTACGTTTGGCGCGTCACGATCGCCGAAACGTGGGCCAACACGTTGAGCCAACGCGTAGCGTCTTGAGACGAACGCTTTGAAGACGGTACGTGATGCGTTAAAATGGGCGAAGCAGCGCAACTACGTGAGTGACCCTAGGCAAGAGGCACCTTTGGTGCGCGGCTTGTCGGCCGCTGCGTGCAGTGAGACAGCAGCGGCCTTCAGCGAAGGGCAACTCCTGCGTGCAGCCGAGCCATACCCGCCTGGCGGACGCCCGACCCCGCGCAGTTGGCGAGGGGGCAGCAAATGTGCAGCATCGCGAAAAATCAGGCCCAGTTCCATCATGCTTCGGCACTGCAGGGCCCGACACAGGGCAGAATCGCCCTGCGTGCACAATTTGCAACGCCAAGATCTCAGGTTTGGACGGCCGACATGGGTACTGAAACTCATCATGTCGAAGGACCCGACCACATGCAGTTGTGAATACAGCGTTGAGGTTACCACTTTCGGTGGAACTCCCTTTGGGGTTACGAGACGTCTGAGGGGTGTGCGGAAACAGTGCGGTGGTGCCATGCCAACCCTGCCTCTGGGGCCTTCGTAAGAGCTCCCTATGGAGCCACGAAACGTGCGAGGGGTGTGCCGCGATGGTGCGGGGGCACGCATGCGAACCCTGCCATTGGGGCCTTCGGAGGAGCTCCCTAGGGGGCCACGAAGCGTGCGGGTGTGCCGACGTTGTGCGGGGGGCCGCATGCGAAACCTACAAACGGGGCATTCGGAAGGGGTACGTCGAGAAACGTGTGAGGGCTGTGCCGAAATATCAAAGGGGGACGCATGCGAACCCTGCCACTGGAGCCTTCGGGGGAGCTCCATAACGGACCACGAAACGTGCGAGATGTGTACCAAAATTGTGGGGGAGAACGACGCATGCAAACCCGGCCACTGGGGCCTTCCGTGGAGCTCCCTATGGAGCCACGAAGCGTGGAAGCGTGTGCCGACATGGTGCTGGGGGACGCATACGAACACTGGGGCATTCGGAAGAGCTCATTTTGGGGCCAGGAAGCGTGTGAGGGGTGTGCCGAAATGATGCGGGGGCAAGCGTGCGAACCCTGCCACTGGGGCCGTGGGTGGAGCTCCCTATGGGGCCACGAAGCGTCTTAGGGGTGTGCCCACATGGTGCGGGGGGACGCATGCGAACCCCGCCTGTGGGGCCTTCGGGGGAGCTCCCCATGGGGGCGCGAAACGCGTGAGGGGTGTGCAAACATTGTGCGGGGGGACGCATGCGAACCCTGCCACTGGGGCCTGGTGGAGAGCTCCCGAAGGGTGTACCGAAATTGTGCGGGAGGGCGACGACTATGATGACGCGGGGTGGGAGGAGGCATGAGTGGGAGGACGAGATGAGAAGAAGACGCGTGGCGCTGTCTCTTCAAAACGAGGGCCCGACACCACAGGATGGTTGGGACAAGAGGGGCACGATTCCCAACAACAAGCGTTGCCCCAAACCGACAGCGGCAGCTGCTGCCCAGTCGGCCCTCTGTCTCAAATGGACAACGTCCGCGGCGACACGGGCAACGAGTCCTGTTCAGAATGAGCAGGAACTGCTGCAGGTCTTCGTGCTCATTCCTTCCGTACTCACCTTGGTCGTATCGGCTGCGCGCATGAGTAACCTCAGGCAAGGGTGGCCTTTGGTGCACGGCGTAGGGGGTGGGGGGGGGGGGGCGCGGGGTATCCAGCCTGGGCGCGCGCGCCGCTGCCACCGCTCTGCGTTCAGCGATCGAGGGGCTCCATGGGTTTGGTAGATGATATCGAGGGGTGCGGTGCCAATGCTGAGAATGGCGATGCTGTCTACGATCGCCAAGAATGCGCTGCATTCCGATTTCAACAGCTTTGGCGTTGCACCGACCGCTTCAAGAACGTCACATTTCCTGCTTCCAACTTCCCCAAACGACCAGGGTCCTATGTGAACAACAGCAGAAAACCTGCTCCAGGACACCCGATCACAGAGCACGCAATTCGGGAGAAGGCCACTCCTAGTAGGCCTTTTTTTTCCCTCTGGGTACCGGCATGTGGCCGAAGGGTGAGGGAGGGGGGCGGCTGGGTCTGGGCCGGTGTTGAGTCGATCTACCTCTACCAGCCGCGCAGGCAGACTGGGAGCGGGGGGGGGATCTGACCAGTCGCCCAAAGCAACCGCCCGAAGCAGCCAAGACCCGGTCTATTGGGGGGGGGGGAGGGGGAGGGGGGGGGGGGTGAAAGGGGGCCCGCGCCGAACGGCGAGAGCGTGCGCAAAAAACGGCGACCTACGTGTAGCCGATCGTGCCGACTGGGGAACAAGCGCCCGGCGGACGCGGGCCCGCGCTCAGTGAACGGGCGGGGCCAGCCGCCTCGCCTGCCCCAGGCGCGCCCCCAAGGCGCCGGGGCCCCGCCGCGCCGTGGCGCCGCGGGGGCCCATCGGGGTCCCGCGGGGTCCCGCCGCGCCCGCGGGCGTCGCCGCGAGGGTGCGCGCTCCCTCTCGGAGGGAAGCGCTGGGAAAGATAGCATAAAGGGGGCCTCAGAACCTGGTGGAGCACCACTCGAGGCCTGGCCATGTCGATATACCACCGCCGCCCTCACCAGATAAGGAACCCTCCAGGGTCTGAAGCCTCCCCGGCGCGTTTCTTCACGAGCGCCCCCGCCGAACCAACCTCGTAAGAAGCACCCCAGCAAACAAGGCCTCTTAGTAAAGCCCCCCAGGAAGGTGTCGAACAGGGCAGGGCTGTTCAGTAAACGCCCAGGGTTGTTCAGGAAACGCCAGCTATGGGGGTCGGAGGGTATTTGTTCCTCCCTTGACCTCTGGCGCCGCCACCTCCTCCTCCTCGCCCCTTCCTCTAGAGGAAATAAGGACATATACACAATTTCTCGGAGGTCCGCGCGGACTTCTTGGAGCGGCGCTGGACCCCCTCTCTGGCGCGCGCAGCGCGCCAGGGGCAGCGCAAGAGGCGCCACGAAGGGGGTCTGGCGCAGGTCCAAGAAATCCGCGCTGACGTCCGACAAATTATGTTCGCGAGATGTGTTGCTGCTCCATCTTGCTCCGCGAGCGGGCTCTCACTCGCCGGGGCGCTGGGCCAGCATCGCTACGACGTGCGAGGTCCTCGCGAGCTCGGTGAGGGGCGCTGCGTCACCACCCTGGCCGTTCACCGCGAGGATCCTGCGGGGAGACCGGACTTGGCGGCCAGGCTCGTACAGTGGGCAATATGCAGCAAGGCATCAGAAAAGGTTCAGGGCACACTGACTTACTCTACACTGCTGCACAGGATCAAAACACTGTTAGGATTGAGAGGATGACGTCTGCTCTTCGTAGTACCACTATTGATATCACGCGCGCGTGCCTAAACTCTCGACGTCGGCGCTGCTCGCAAGGACAACGGCGGGGAACACGATGACGTTGGGCCCCTCTGGGGCCCCGAATCTGTCCGAAGTAGGCGCGTTCCCCCGAAACGCCGGCATCGGTGTCTCCACTGCGATTTCAGACGGGCGAAGTGTTGGCCAGCGCCCACGCGAACCCATACACACATATGCACACATACAACAAATACCTACCTACCTACCTACCTACCTACCCACCCACCCACCTACCTACACACAGACAGGCAGACAGGCAGACAGGACAGACACAGACAGACAGGCAGACACAGACAGACAGACAGACAGACAGACAGACAGACAGACAGACAGACAGACAGACAGACAGACAGACAGACAGACAGACAGACAGACAGACAGACAGACAGACAGACAGACAGACAGACAGACAGGTATATATATATATACATACATATATACATGTATATGTCTATACGACTTCGGTTAGGGCCCCGCTGGGGCACACGGCAATCGGGGAGCAATCTACGCAGGGCGCCTGCTGGCAGGCTGGTGTTCTGGTGTGCCTGCGTCCTGCCATCTCCGTGCCCCCCCTCCGCCGGACTTCCGACGACTGGGCAACATCACGCCAACAACGCTTCGCTGTTTTCGGACTCCAAGGGCCGGATTCTGAGCCCGAGATCCGTCAACCATACAATCTGGGATACAAACAAACGTATGAAACCAGAGTCCCCACGCCCTCCAAAGCACGTGGGAGCTCATTTGGAAAACGACGTCTCGGTCCGCACCCTCGCGTGGAGCACGCCTGCAGTGGCGCCACGCAGACCGCACAGTCATTGCTGGCTAAGCGCGGGTGAAGCTTTCGTGCGATCCCGTTCACTCGCCGATTGCCTTTTCCCCTCGTCCTGAATTCAGCCCGGACGAATCACTGCTCTTGCAACCGCGCGCCCGGCTATGACGACAAGCTCCCCCGACCCCGCGAAGACGTCCAGCTCAAGACGGCCTTCTCTAACAAGGAATAAGGAATGACAATGTATTTCAATCATCCTGGCAAGGAACCCATGCGTATGCGGCTGTGAAGCCCTTGATGTGGGTGCCGCTCTCGGTGGAGCTCCACTTGTGGCCACGAAGCGCGTGAGCGGTGCGCTGAAATAGGCGCGGCGGTGCATTGTGAGCCCTGCCGCCAGGGCCTTCGGACGAATTCCATGCCACGAAACGTGTGAGGGGTGTGCCGGAATGGGCTCGGTGGCGTCATGCCAACCCTGCCACTGGGATCTTCGGAGGAGCTTCCTATAGGGCCACGAAACGTTTGAGAAGTTTGCCGAGATGGTGCAGGGGGACGCGTGCGAATCCTGCCACATGGGCTTTCGGAGGAGCCCCCTATGGGGCCGTGACACGTGGGAGGGGTGTGCCGACATGGTTTGGGCAGACGCATACGAACGTCTCCTCTGGGGCCTTAGGTGGAGCCCCCTATGGGACCACGAAATGTGTGAGGAGTGTGCCGACATGGGCGAGGCGGACGTATCCGAAACCTGCCACTGGGACCTTCGGACGAGCTCCTTCTGGGCCCACGAATCGTGCGAGACGTGTGCCGAAATACTGCGGGGGACGCATGCGAATCCTGCCACTGCTTCTAGGCCCACTCCAATATGTCCAGACTGTTCCATGACTATTTGGAACTGGTTTCAAGCATATCTTATATAAGTATCGGAATCTAAACTTCAATGCATGTGAAGCAACAAATGAGATTTTTAGGGTATCAATACCAAGCATGGAAAAAACGAACGCACCATCAACATGATAACACTGCAACCACAATGACTGCAACACCAAAAACTAACATCCCAAACGCAACATCACAATGACACACATAGACAAACTCCCAGGGTAACAAAACCAAACATGAAAATCCCAAACGCCAAATCTCAGGGTACCAGAGAGGGCACACCCGTTTCACTGTTGGTGGCCCCATACGAGGCCCAGCCGAAGGCCCCAGCTGGAGGGTTCGCATGGCGCCGCCGCACCGAATCTGGCGCGGCGCACCCCTCACGCGATTCGTGGCCCCATTGGGAACTCCACCGAGGGCTCCTATGGGAGGGCGCGCCGGGCGCCGCCGCGCTCATTTCGGCGCACCCCTTCACGCGGTTCGCGGCTCGATTCGGAACTCTCTGGAGGGCCCCCATGACGGGGTCCGACCAGTGCCGTCGCGCCCATTCCTGGGCACCCCTCACACGGCCCGTGCCCATGACCCCACACGGAGCTCGGCCGAAGGCCCTTGTGGGAAGGTGCGCATTGTGCCGCCGCGCCCCTTTCGGCACACCTTCAGACGGTGCGTGGCCCCACAGGATGCTCCACCAAAAAGCCCCCCAGTGTGCGAGTCCTCACGGCGCTGCGGCGCCCATTGTCGCACACCCCTCAGAGACTGGACACATCGGCTCCCCGGGGAGGTCGTCGTCGTCGTCGTCGTGGTCGTCGTCGTGTTGATCGCAGTCGTCGTGGTCATGGTCGTCGTGGTCATGGTCCTCGCGGTCGGCATCGTGGCCGTGGACGTGGTCTTCGTCCTGGTTGTGGCCGTGGTCGTTGCGGTCGTTGTGGTCGTGGTCACAGTGGCCATGATGGTCGTCGTCGTCGTCGTGGTTGCAATAGCCGTCGCTGTCGTCGTCGTTGTTGCCGTGGTCGTCGTCATCGTCATCGTCGTGGGCGTGGTCGTCGTCGTGGCTGTCGTCGTGGTCGTAGCCGTCGTGCTCGTGATCGTTTTCGTCGTGGTCGTTGTCGTCGTCGTGGTCGTGGCCGTGGCCATGGCCGTTGCCGTGGTCGTCGTCGAGGCAGTGGTCGTTGTTGTCGTGGTCGTGGTCGTCGTCGTCAGGGTCGCGTTGGTCGTCGTGGTTGCGGTCGTGGTCGTCGTCGTCACAGCAGTTGTGATCGTTGTCGTCGTCGTGGCCGACGTCGTGCTTGCGGTAGTGGTCGTGGCCGTCGTCGTGGTCCTGGTGGTGGTCGAGGTGGTGGTGGTGGTCGTAGTCGTCGTTGTCACAGCCGTCGTGATCGTTGTCGTCGTCGTGGGTGCTCGTAGTTGTGGTCGTGGCCGTCGTCGTGGTCGTGGTCGTGGTCGTGGTCGTCGTGGTCGTCGTGGTCGTCGTCGTCGTCGTCGTCGTCGTCTTCGTTGACGTCGGCGTGGTTGCGGTCGCGGTCGTCGTCCTGGTTGTGGTCGGGGTCGTCGTGGTCCTGGTGGTCATCGTCGCCGCGGTCATGGTTGTCGTCGTCGTGGTCGTGGTCATGGTCGTTGGCGTTGCCGCCTTCATCGTCGTCATGGCCGTGTCGTCGTGACCGTCGTCGTGGTCGCGGTCGTCGTCGTGGTCGTCGCCGTCGGTCTTGACCGTCGCCAGTGCCGTGGTCGTGGTCGTTGTCTCGGTCGTCGTCGTCGTGTTCTTGGCGATCGCCGTGGTCGTGATCGTCGCTGTCTTGGTCATGATTATGGTCTTGGCCGTGGTCGTGATGGTGGCCGTGTCCGTCTTCGTGGATCTCGTCGTCGTCGTTGTCGTCATGGTGGTGGTCATGATCGTTGTCGTCGTGGTTGTGGTTGGGGTTGTTGTCGTGGTCGTCGTGATCGTTGTGGTCGTGCCTGTCGTCGATTACGTGGTCGTGGCCGTCGTCGTGGTCGTAGTCGTGATCGTTGTCGCCGTCGTCGTCGCAATCGTTGCCGGAATCGTAGTCATGGTCGTCGCCTGAGTTGTCGTCGTCTTCGCGTTCGTTGTCGTCGTGGTCGTCGCGGTCGTTGTCTTAGCCATGGCCATAGGAAATCGCCATCGTCATTGTCATCATTGTCGCCCTCGTCATCGTCGCCGTCATCAACATCGTCCTCACCTGGTCGTTGGCATCCTCGTCGTCACCGACGTTGCCGTCATCGTCGTGCTCGTCATCGCTGGCGTCGTCTTCAACGTCCTGGCGCTTGTGTTCATCGGCGCTGGCTGTCAGACTCGTCGTCAGCATCGTCATAACCATCGTGTGGGCCGTCGCCCTTGTCAGAGCCGTCGTAACCAACATCGCTGTCGTTAAGAATGGCGGACCTGTGTTTTAGAAACCCTGGGGGAAGAATTTGGCGAGGAGGAGGGGCCGTGACATCCAGCCGAATATCCACAGCAAGATAGCATTTGCACACTTGCAAACTATAGCACGCTGTACGTTGCGAATTTGCACATGTGTAGCTTGCTACATACTGCAAATGCGCAGTGGATAACAATCTACACGTTGCACATTCGAAATATGTAGCAAGCTACACACTGCAAATGCGCAATGTATAGCAAGCTGCACATTGCAAATGCGCAGTGTGCAGCAAGCTACACACTGCAAATGCGCAATGTGCAGGTTGCTGCCACAGGTTGCTCGAGACATATGCACCAGCAAAGCTGCACAGTGCACACTTGCAATGTGTAGCTTGCTACACATTGCGCATTTGCAATGTGTAGCTTGGTACACACTGCGCATGTGAAAAAAGGAGGGGGAGGAAGAGGCGAGGGAGGAGCTCGCTCGCTGCTCGACGCCACCGAAATGCACACGAAAAGGATTGCATATAATGTTGCGCGTGGGCTCCCAGGCGGGGAGAGAAGCGTCAGAATCCTGATGGACGAAAACACCCCCCCCGGGGATCCTTTGGAGATGGGGGTCCCAGAAAGCATGCCGCGACTAGCAGGTGAGAACGATGCTGATGACGGCGACGATGACGATGACGGCAGCGACGACGATGACAATGACGTTGGTGAGGATGGTTCCGACAACAATCGCGACCATGAAAAGGACAACGACGACGGCGATCACGACGTCGACGATGAC